GCCATGAGAGGTGTGCCACATGTTTCCACATTTCCGCACTTTTCCACATTTTCCATAGCAAACAGATTTCTAGGATCCCTGATTATTACACAAAACATCCATAATTGCATTCCTATGCTGCAACATTTTGCTACAACCCTCTATTGGTAATATAGAGCTAAATAACGCAGTGGAAGCAGAACAGGAGCTATTCCTCCATGGTCACTTTGCTACCCAGAGGGAAATCCCAGTGTACCCTTTTCCAAACAACTATACTCTCCCAAACCCCTGGAGAGGCAAACTTCTGAGGTGGTCTTGCATATCCAATGACTTGGGTCCAGATGAGGGGATCACCATCTGAGTTTCCTTCAGAGAGGTTCCTACTGGCTGAGGATGGTTTAGATGCTGACTTGCCTGCTCTGGCAACTGTAGAAAGGTGGAATCAGTCTTGAAGGCAGGCAGCTCCTCATTGCACTATCAGGTGTGTCCACCTTGAGAGGTATGTTCTGTGCATAACCTGAGATCCATCTGGGATAGGTGGAAAATGAGCTTTTTAACTGGCTCTGTTCTGAGGAAAGCCTATATTGGCATTGGAGGTAGAAGGGATATTTCTGTGCTGAGATGGGAGCAGGTCCACCAGCCTGAGACCTGCTAAGCAGCAAATTGAACCTGAAAAAAATACAAACCTGGCAGGGGAACCCTGTGCTGGGCTGTGCTGTGATTGGGGTTCCCATGGGGATAGGATGTGGGGTTAGAAGGACTGCTGCACAAGGCATTTGGACATGCTGACCCTCCCATGTTAGAATAACCCGTGGGGAGCACGGTCATGCTAGGATAGCTGGAAGCAGGATGGTTTCTCTAGGCTGGGGGTGTCTGATTGGACTTTCTTCCATCTGCCTCAAAGGAACCATGAATCTAAGACAGTGAAGGGTGAGGAGATCACTGGAGGCAAAGTCAGAAGGGGTCAGAGGAGCAGGAACGCAGATGTCTCAGAGAGGAGAAGGGAAGAGATGGGTGCGGGAGGTGTCTCAGGGCAGACATGGGCATGGGATCAAGATCCTGCATGCCCCAATTAGATGTGACAAATTAGTAAAACAGTGACACATGGAACCCAGCATAATTCACAGTTATTTTTTCCCACTTAACTGTGCTAATTTAAGCAGAGAAAAGTGAGCCTGGCAAGTGATTTATACCTCTAAAAATAACCCAGTGGCATGCTAATGGCCTCTGCAGGCTGGATCTGCAGACTGTGGAGCCAGGGAGCCTCGGGGTTTGGGAAGCAGGCACCTGTCACCCCCAGCAGGGATGGGGAGAGGATTTTGAACCCTGGGGTTGCAAATCTAGGATCATTCTCTGTCCACCTTCTGCTTGCCCCAGACTGAGATGGGGAGAGGGAGAGCAAGGAGAAAAATTAATCCCCTGTCTCCATGGCCTTTGGAATACACTCCCCTTCTCCAGCACGGCTGCCCAGGGAACTTGGGAGGGCCCTTCTGTGGCCTGGAGCTAAGCTCCACTGAGATGATGGGTCTCAGTTTTGAGCGAAGTAGTTTTCATGCCTGAGTGTTGGCTGCTTGAGTTCAGCTCTCTTCCAGTGGGGAAGGCTGTTCGAAGTAGGACAGAGCAATGTATGTTGTGGTGTGTTGTCAAGCCAGGATGCTGCTGTGCATGGAGGCAAATGGGCCATCAGGTAGCTCTTCTCTTCTTGGTCACTGCTTCGACTCCCTCCCAGCCACTACCAGCTGCCTGGTGGCAAGAGATGGGCAGGTTGGTCTCAGCATGGTCACTAGAGAGTATGCATCAACCATTATAGTCACTGCTAACTGATCTCCATGTTGTTCAGCTCAGCAGAAAAGTGCCAGTTTGAATGGGCCTTGTACACTGAGTCCCCTCCCTCCCCAGAGACGTTGCCTCCTTCTAGCCTTGAGGGAGCACCAGGCAAAGCAGCCTATCCTGCTCCTATCCACACTGCACCTGTTCTGCAGATGATCCATAGGCTCTGTAGGTGATCCATGCAGCCCAGTCTTGATTTTACTTGGTACATTTGAGGGTGAAAGACTAGGTTAGGGACTATTTAGAAAAGCTGGTCATGTACAAGTCCTTGGGGACAGATGCGATTCATCCAAGGGTGCTGACAGAGTTGGCTGACATGATTTCTTGAAGGGCACTGTGAAGATGAGTCAGGCCCAGCAAACCTCTCTAGTTGGAAGCCAGTATTTGTGGGTGAACAGAGGATTGCTATGACCGGAATTGCAATTTGCACCTTGCATGGGCTGGAATTTACTCAGAGAATTCAGTTCTGCACTGTCATGGGCTCATTTTCAAGGCAGTTTCACAGTCTTTGGGCCTGCTCAGTGCCAAATTCTGGCTGCTAGTGAGTCCTGCTTTTCAAATCTAAGGCTGTGTGTATTCTTCATCCCCCAGAACCACCTTCCCCATGGGACTGTATTCCAGAATCTAACCCCTGAGTCACCTGGATTTCAAGTGTCCAAGCAGCCCATGTTCCACTGAGAGAGGCCATGAGTACTCATGACTCCAGAAAATGTGGTTATAAGCTCCCAGCCCTTGCTGATCCAAACAGACCCTTCATCTGGAGCCTGGCACAATACCTCTGACATGGACAAACTGCCCCATACATCCTAACTGGGCATTGAATCTGAAATCTGCAATTGAAATGACAACTTGTTAATTATTTCACAATGATTTGTTTTAGCCAAAGAATCTAACCCACACTTCCAGCTGACCTCTTCTCCCCCTGCTTTCCTCTACACTGAGGCCACATCTCTACTCCCTGCCGGATAGCAGTGCTCTGTCAATGCAGACGTCCACAATGCAAAGAAACTAAGGGATAGCAGAAAATATATGGAATAGCCAGAAGCTACTATGCTGATTGCATTAGCAAGGTCATTGTCCCTTTCTTCAAAATGTTCTGCGTAAAAGAATGGGCCCAAATATGAGACTGAAATCTTCAGTGTACCACAGGAGTTTACTGTGGGAACTTGGCTTGGAAAACTAGGCAATCCACCCACCCTGAAGTAGGGGAAGGCTTTGTTTATTAGCTCAATAAAGCAAGAGAGACCATGCAGTGAAGGCAATTAGTGGGTTTACCGTGCATCACTCTGGGTTTCCTTCCAGGCGGATATCCTTCAAGGGTTCGCTGTCTGAGGCTCAGGTGCGGGAGAGCAGCCTGGAGCTCCTGAAGGGATATCTGAGCGACATCATGGAGTCCATCATTGGCTCGGTGGAGAAATGTCCACCAATCATGAGGGTGGCCTTCAAGCATCTACACAAACGGGTCGAGGACCAGTTTCCAGAGGCCGAGCACGAGGTCTGGCAGCTGTGGAGGGGGTGGTGTGAGTAGGGTGGAAGGGGCAGGGGTGGGGTTACAAGAGTCTTAATCTATAGGCCTGCCCATGGCTTTATAGCCAACCATCAAGGATTGGACAACTCACCTTTCATCTGTGTAGCCCATCACCCAGGGTGTCTTTGTCTCCCTCTAGCACAGTGATTCTCAACCAGAGGTTGGGGCACCAGGTCCTTTGAAGGGTGTCACAAGGTGTGAGAAGATAGTGAGATGTGAGGAGATAAGCAGATGAGCTAAGCAAATAAGCCAGGCTTGTCTCTGCATAGATAATCCCCCACCCCTACTGCCTATTCTCTGTTTAAGGAGATAAACACCATAACATATAAATTAGTTTTTGAAATTGGGTGCCACTAAATTCACAAAGGTTATGGAGGGTGTCTTGTGTCCAGTGAGGTTGAGAACCACTGCTCTGGTAATGGACTACATAAGAGGGTACTGCCCTGCTGCTGCTACCTCCACTGGGGAGAGGTCAGTTGTTCAAGTGGTAGAAGCCTGTGCTTTGGGATTAGGGATCCCAGCTTTGGTCGCCAGTGGTGGCCAGACAGGGGGTCGTTACACCAGGATCTCATAGCACTTTGTTTAATTATCAGTGAATTAGGGCTCATTGCCTTCCCTCTCAAGTGCATCAGGGAATCAGTGGCAGACAAGGTTCTTTGCGTGAATCTGATATCTTTTATTTGACCAACTTAAACAGTTGGAAAACAATTATTAAGCAAGCATTCGGGTTCAAAAACCCTCCATCAGGCTAAGCAAGTTTCAGCAGTTGGTGCGTGCTCTTCCTGGATGGAACGAAAAGTAAAGAAGCCAGAGGCTGGGCTGGTCTGCATCAGGGAATCAGTGGCAGAGCTGTGAAGAGTACCCAGGAATCCTATATCCCATAATCCTCCTGATACTCTTGATAGCTTGGTTCTGGTGCCTTCTACCTCGCTCAAGTGCCCCACAGATTGTCTGGCCCAGCCTTCCTTCATTGCTGATACCCAATGAAATCAGAGCATGGGCTGCTGCAGGTGACATACTGGGCCCATCTACAGATGCAAATGCTGTGGGGTGGGTTTACTGTACAGTAAATTACTAGAGTAAATCCACCTCAGGCAGACATCTGTATGTGCAGGAATGCAGGAGCAGATTTGCTGCTCCTGGCAACAGTCGGCTGCCACCCCCTCCAGCCCTGCACTGGCCCCCTGCAGCAGCCAGGGGGAGCTCTAGGCTGTCAGGGGAGCCAGAGGGAGCACAGGGCCTGGCAGGGAGCACAGGGCCAGGAGATAGCGGTCTCCTGGCAGGGACTGGGGGATTGCTGCCTGCTGCTGGGGTGGGCTCTGTCACCAGAGCCTAGATGGGGGCAATGTCCCCCCCTACCCTGGCAGCAGGGAGCTCCCAGCCCCAACTCCCCAGACAGGGGCAGGGGAGGCTTGGAAAGAGCTGCAGGGGAAGGGCAGGTCCTAGCCCCCTGCCCTGATCTGTCAGTGGGGCAGCTAGCAGTGATCCCCCAGCTCATCTCCCAGCCTGTACCTCGCCATTTCTAGCCCCAGCTCTGCGATTGCGGAGCTGGAGCTAGAAAAATTTCTCAGTCTGTTCCCAGCCCCAGCTCTGTGATTGTGGAGCTGGGGTTGGGAACAAGCTCCCAGCCTGTTCCTAGTCCCAGCTCTGCAATTATGATCATGGAGCTGGGGCTGGGAGCTCCCTGCTGCCAGGGTAGGGGGACGTTGTCCCCACCCGAGTTTGGTGGGGGAGTCCACTCCAGCAGTAGGCAGCTCCTGGGGCCAGGGAGCAATCCCCTGCCCCCTGCTGCTTGGCTGACCAGGAGCAAGTTTGCTGCTGTTTGGCTGTCTACACATGCTGTACTACACAGTAACTTATTGTGAGTAAATTTGCTACTTGTATTTCCAGGAAGCAAATTTACTTATGATAAGAGCAAATTACTGTGCAGTAAGCATCTGCACGTATAGACAGTGATGCTTACTGCACAGTAATTTGCACTAATCCCGAGCAAAGCATCTCATGTAGGTGCACCCACTGCCTGCTTTAGCACATTCCCTCTTGCCTCCAAGCAGCAGCTACTCCCGGATGGCTCTCAGGGGATTCTTTTCACTGCCCATTGACTTGGGAGCTGGTAGCTGTGACTGGAGCTGGGTCCGGGGAAGGAATTGGGAGCAAATTTGGGTGGAATCCTGAAGGAATTTGGAGAACACATGCACATCCCAAGTGCCCCCCACCAAGCCTCATCTGGAGGCAACCCTCCAGTGGCAGGTCTGAAAAGGGGACTGATGCCCCACTGAGCCTATGTGAGCATGGGGAAAGGGGTCCCGTTCCCTTAATGGTGACAGCAAATCCCTGGAGACATAAATTCCCATTCCCTCAGGATATGAAGTACATCGCCATCAGTGGCTTTCTGTTCCTCCGCTTCTTTGCTCCTGCCATCTTGACTCCAAAGCTGTTCAACCTCCGGGACCAACATGCTGACCCCCGGACCAGCCGCACACTTCTGCTCCTGGCCAAGGTATGCACTCGGGGAAGGAGGGAGGATGGGTATCCTGCTTTTTTTTATCACCATGGCATGTCTCTGTAATGTGTGTTGGGGATCCTGGCCCTTTGGATCACATCCTCTCCTCAGAAGTCCACCGAAAGAGCTAGAGGTGCCAAGAAGCCAGGCTCTCGACTTGTGTAAATGTGCATTGAGTTCAGTGGAGCTATGCTGTTGGCTGAGGATCTGCCCCAGACATCCATTGCCTATATCTAATTATAGTGAGTAAACACCATCACAGAGAGGAGGTACCCAGTACTAATGGGCAGTGGTGAAGAGGAGGCCACAAGTGGTTGGAAGCAGAAGTGTGACCAATTCAAATGAAAATCAAGCACATTTTTTTACAGCAAGGTACCAAGCTACCAAGGCAAGTGGTAGCTTCTCCACTGATGGACCCAAGACTGGGTGTCTTTCTGGAAGATGTCCCTAGCCAAACACAAGCTAATGGGCTCAGTGATGGGGCAGCTGAGTGATGTTCTATGTCCTGTGTTATAGGGAAAGTCACACTGGACCTGATGGTCCCTTCTCACCTTAAAATCTATTAGAACAAGTGCTGCTTGTATCACAAGAGGTCATCTGACCTGCCCCTGCAGAACAAGCAGCGTCTGCTTGTGATCAATTGTGCAGATGTATAATGTCCATAAAAAATAAAGGAAATAGCATAGTGTTGGTTGTGCCCTGGAGTATTGATACAGATACTGGGCAGAATTTAATGTTGGCCTCAAATCAGTGTTGGGGAGGGAGGGGTTGGGAGCGGCAGGGGTATATATGAGAGAACCATTTACTGGAGCATCTTGGTTGGACCACCCCTAGCAGGCTTTCCTGTAGCATCCTAGGTCTGTTTGTTCTGGAAAATCATCTGTGCTGGGCTGGGCTGCCCAGACAATGTTCTGTATCCATCCTAGATATGGAACCGGGTGGTGTAATGTACTGAGAGCCTGATGACTGTTGGGGCTGGCTGATTAGAGGACCTGTGTGAGAGAGCCCCTGGGTGTGCTGTTGTATAGCCTACTGCAGTTAGATATAGCAGCAAGGTGGGAAGTGATTCATATCTCTGGGCCACATCCTCCACTAAGATCAGTGCAGCCCCTGATGTCACTAAGGCCACGTTGGGATCCAACCTATTGGTTTTAATCAATAGGTTGCATCTCGGTGCTCAGATCAAGAGTAGTCCTATGCTTGCCCGGCAAGGGAAACACCGTGACCACTGAGGTGGTCTTTCTAGTCACACCTGGGGAAGACCGCTGACCTGGCACGGGGATAGTACCTGTCAAAGTAATGTATAGAAAACCTCTCAGCTGCTGGAGTGGGAAGGTCTTGGCTTTATGCCCACTTTATGGAAAGGCGAGACTCCTCCCTAGCTTGCTCCTGTGGCCTTATGGTTGAGGGCAAGCAAAACTTGGGGGCATCTGAACCCTGAGCCTCCAGCCTTGGGCCCGCAAATAGGATGTCTGCCAAAGGATTTGGAAACATCTGAAGCCCCAGGTAGGGGTGGAGGATTTTTGCCAGTAGTGAGGCCGCTTATGGTTTTGGACTGACTCATGGATTTGGAATTTGATTTGGCAAATTTGGCTTGGAATATGGAAATTAAAAATAAATGGTTTTAACCACCTCCTGTGAGTGGAATAGGGAAGTGCTGTGTTGGGGGAGGGGTGGGGGGGGGCTGATACAGAAGGAGAACCCATTCTTGTCGTCCAGCATGGTCAGTCTGATCTCCAGTCAAGAGCCTCCCCCCATGTCTCTCCTCTGAGAGCATCCCTGCTGCTAGAGGGCTACCAAACCTCCTTGCTGTGTGGCCTGATTGGCTTGGCCCCTGGAGTGGAGCCACAGGCTTGGGCAGTGGTCTGAGGGTCACCTCTAGGATCTTGAATGTCACCCCCCTGCATCCCGTGAACCCTTTAGTAGACCCACCCAGTACTCTCTCTCATGCTTTGAGTCTCCGGGCTTGGTTGTGATTGGCAGCTCCTCTGTGCTGGCACTCACAAGGAATGACTAACCCAGACTGGAGGCTGGCACCCATCCCACTTCTCCATGTACCAGACTGGGGCAGGCCATGGAGGTAGGGGGGAATAGGATGCAGGGACTTAAACTGACTGGCAAGGAATGAATGTGTGGTACCACGTGTGCTGAAAGCGCGGTGTAGGGATGGAAGGAGAGAATGGTTAATGTGTGGGGAAGGTGTGAGAGGAGAATGGGGAGGAGGTATCTTTTGCCCTTCCCTTTGTCCCTGAGGCCTGCCCAAACCATCCCCAGCCAGGGAACATGCAGCCATTTGTTTTGCTTTGAAAACTTTATCAGGCTGCTGCTGTGGGCCAGAGTCAAGGAAAGTCTCCTCTAAATAAAATGTGTATTGATTTATTTATGCTCCCTGGGCATTACCCAAGTGTGAGCCCCTTTCCAGAGAGGTCCCTGTTGCATAGTTCACAACTGTAACATTCAGGCCGCAGAAGAGCAGGAAAGACTATCTGCATGGTCTGTTGGGCTTGACTTTACAGGAAGGCTCTTGGCCTAGGATTGTGATTTCAGAAAAAGGCTGGTCAGACATCGGTTGGGGAAGGATAAGGAAAAGTGAATCCTACATCTGTTGGACTGGGTGCCTGGAGCCCTGTGATTCTGATGCGACACTCTCCCTACTAACAGAGGCACCTTGTGTAGCAAACAGGTTCTCCTGCAGCCACACAGGCCCCCAACAGAGAGGAGGGAGTAGAGTTGGGGATGCTGCAGGGAGAGGGCCCAGCCCCACACTGTGACCCTCTCCCCCTTCTTCTCTTCTGCCAGGCAGTGCAGAGCATCGGCAACCTGGGCCTACAATTGGGACATGGCAAAGAGCAGTGGATGGCTCCGCTGCACCCTTTCATCATTCCCTGTGTCAGCCATGTCAAGGACTTTCTGGACAAGCTCATTGATGTGGACAGCGAAAACGGTGAATCCTCTTGTGCCCAGGGGACTCGTGGGGGTCCTCTAAGCAGCTGCAAATATCAGAATTGTCCTGAAGCATTTCCAGGGCTCAGGCGACATTAACACCAAGGGCTTTGGTCTGGACATGTGGGGCTGAGGAAGGTGGCAGGATCCCCTGGGTGACACTGTCCCTTTACAGCGGGCATCTGTTTCCTGACATACAACTTCCACATTCAACATCTCCAAGTCCCAGTGGTGGTAAAATCCTATCACTCAAGTTTTTCCTAGAGGCTGGGGCATAGTGGGGTAGGTACAAATTCACTGACAGAGCTGAGCAAAGAGCTGATGCGTTTCTTGTGTGGGCCCAGCTCTCATGAGGATGTAACAACAAGCTATCCTGAGCCTCAGCACCAGCTTAGTGCTCAGATCCCCCTTGGATCCATCTGGGCCCCTAGTGACTCCAAACTTGTCCCATCTTTTAGAAGGGTCAGAAGTGGGTCCATCCTTGTAGCCCCAGTACTGCCCTTCAGTGGCCCATCACTCCACTGCAGTAAAGGAGAAACTCAGTGAGGGAGACAAGTCCCCCTCACCCTATTTCTGAATCTGAGAGGTAGGGCAAGTGGGCTGTGCCTCACACCAGAGGATATAGCTTGGGTGTGGGTATGTGCAAGGAGTTGCTTCTGGGAGTCTCCAACATGGACAGCCAGACTGGACAGACTGGACAACCACTCCCCTATTCCAGCACAGGAGCCTAATGCTGTTGCTATCACAGCAGGGCCTGGTGTCAGCAGGCTCTGCTCAAGCATGTCTGGGCCCCAGAGGGGAAGAGCAAGGGAGAAGCTTGGTGAGGAGACCTGGACAGAGCAGGGATGTCCATTATGGTGCTACAGTGTTCCCATTCCTGATAGCCAGAGGCTTCTGGCTAGAGGATCTTGCCCCTTTGCCCAGGGTCAGGCTGATTGCTGTGAGGTCAGGAAGGAATTTTACTCCATGGTCATGTTGGGGGTTTTGGCCTTCCTCTGTAGTTGGGGGTTTGGTCCTCTACCTGGGATCTCTTGAACATCCAGGGAGGCAGGACAGTGCTGGGAGTAGTGACCCCACACTCAAATCAGCTGCCCCCACCAGAGTGAGGGCAGGGCTTGGTCTTACAGCCTGAGCAGATCCAGATGGCTTCTAGCCACATCCCAAACCACACACTGGCTACAGCATGCATATGTCAGGGCTGTTCCTGTCTCTGCCCACAGCCAGGCAGCTCCCTCTGTCACCCACTGTTGGGTTATAAGATCTCATCATAACACAGCATGATGGGCTGCACCAGGGCACTAGGAAGCTTGAGATCTTTCTATGATGAGGGGTGACAATATAATAGGAATGGGGACAGCTCCCAGGCAGTGCCAGCTTTGCCTTTCCGTTTTAGGGGATGTAGTGCCCTTTTCTGGCCGAACCCAGTGGCTGCAGAGCTGGAGCAGCTGATTAGGGCTTCTGCAAGTTTTTCTGGTGTTTCTCTTACCTGTGGGGCAAGTGGGTCTAGCTCCATTGGTAATTGACCCCCTTGCTTCTCTGCTTGCCCCAATCAGAGCAGAGCCTAGGTGAAGAAAAGTGGGATAACGGGTGGTTTTGCACCCAGCTTTCTGCACACACTTGAAAACAGAGCAGCAAAAGTACCTGAGAGCAACTCCTGAAGGAGCCAGCCCAGTTCCAAAGGGCCATGGAGCTGGGAGAGTCACGGTCGGCTGAGATGGGCACAGCCAGGGTGGTCTGGTTCTGCTCAGAGCTAGGAGCCGGGGACAGATAGCACACATGAAAATGTAGATGTTTCCAGAGCCTGGGATTGGTAGGAAAATAGCAGCTCCTTCTGGAGAGCGCTCTGCCTAAGCACACTGGGTTTGGGGCCTTTTCTGCTTGGCTTTGTGGGTGCCCTCAGCAGACCTCACCTTCTAGCCCTAGCTTCTGTCATGCTGGCACCAAATGCTACCCCTTTCTGAGTCCCACAAGTGGCCTGAGTGCCTGAGCTGTGCTGTGTGGGATGGCAGGCACTGGGCTAGAGTGACCGGTGGAGGCTGGGAGTGGGCAAGCTGATTGGGTAACTGCTCCCCCTCCTCCCCACAGCAGGTGAGGCTCAGCCCCGGATGCTCTTCCACCCGTCAGCCACTATCAAGGAGGGCTACCTGCACAAGCGCAAGGCTGAGGGCCTGCACCTGGTCACGCGCTTCACCTTCAAGAAGCGCTACTTCTGGCTGAGCAGTGAAACCCTCTCCTACTCCAAGTCCCCTGAGTGGCAGGTAGGGCCCTGCCCTACTCCCCTAGTGCCCTTGGGCTCAGGGGCCCCTGACAGAATGGGGCCTCTGGAGCTGCAGATCACCAGAGCTGCGGTCAGTATGGGGTGGGTAATACTGGCCAGGGTCAGGCACAACAATGCTGGGTGCTCTGTTCTGGGCTCCCCACAGCTTCCCTCAGTCCCACCTTGAAGCCCCCTTGTTCCCAGCCCTGGGCTCCCCCCAGCTCTGCCTTCCAGTCCCCGCCTGTTGCCCTCTGCTACCCCTGCACTGACCTCTCCCAGCTCTGCTGATGGGTGAGGAGGGGCTGTGGCCTGTATAGAGACCCCTCCTCCCACCTCCTCTGCTGCCCCCAAGGCACCATCTCATGGTGGGGACTGGGGGGTGGTTTCATCTTGCAGGTCCGCTCCTCCATCCCCATCCAGCGGATCTGTGCTGTGGAGAGGGTAGACGAAAATGCCTTCCAGCAGCCACACATGATGCAGATCATCACACAGGATGGCGAGGGGCAGCTCCACACCATGTACATCCAGTGCAAGGTGAGCATGCACAACCAGGGGGCGGTGGCAGTGTGGCCCCTGGGGCCAACCTGTGTGCCCTGTTCTGGACGTGTCCTCCTCTGTGGCTCCTGGCTTGGGGACTTAGTGTGTTAGCTCAGCCTGCAGGGGCTCGTACTTTATCTCTGCCATGCCTGGGTTTGATCCCTGGAGGATGACCAAGATGCCAGAACCCCAGGGCGACCGTGTGTGTAGCAGGGGGCAGGTCAGTGCTGCCAGCCAGTGTGCTGGAGAGCCAGCAACAAGTATAATGGAGAGTGCTGCCTGCTTCCTCTGTCCACAGGTAGGGCTGGATGGCTTCTGGCTTTGCCCATGTGCATAAAAGAAAGGGGAGGCCAGGCATGAACATAAGGGTGGGGATCCCAATGGCCCCTGCATGCTGCCAGCCATGGTTGCAGTTCCCGGGTGCCATGGCTGAGGGAAAGCTGGTATCCTGGCCTCGTAGGCAGAGGCTGCCTAGTTGCGTGTCCCAAGAGCATTCTGCTCTGGTGCACAGGGAGCTCTGGGTCTCAATCTAGGTAAAACTCCTTTGCAGCACCCCACTGGTGTGGGCCTTGCTTTTCAGGCTGACCCAGCCCTGCATCTCCCCTGCTGTGTGCTGCCTGTGGGTGACCCCATCCCTGGGAGATGCAAATAGCTCATGCTCCTGGACCAGCATTCACCCTCCCGCCAGAGCACAGCGGGCTGGGCTGTGATTGCAGCCAAGAGTCTGGAGTGGGAGCATTTGGTAAAGGTGATGAGGGCTGGGGGCACCAGTCTCCAAGGGGCATCACCCTTGTGCCAAATTAACCCCCATGCCCAGTGAATGCAGGGGTCCAGAATGCAGGGGGCCTAGGCACAGCCTAAACAGCCTGTGGGCCTCCAAAGAGCTATGTAGTGATGGCAGTGGCTCTGGGGGATGAGAGACAGCTGGGCCTCTCAGTGCACCCAACCCTGCCCCAGCCTACCACTGACTTCAAGTGCTGTCTGAGCTGCTGGATCCTGCTGTACTGGCAGCTACAGGCCACACACGGTGGGCATACTGCTGCCTGTGCCACGCCGCAGGGTGGGTGGGACCAGGTGCTGATGCTACCCTGTCCCCACAGAACGTAAACGAACTCAATCAGTGGCTGTCCGCCATTCGCAAAGCCAGCATCTACAACGAGCGTATGCTGCCCTCCTGCCACCCTGGCGCCTTCCGAGGCAGCCGCTGGACCTGCTGCCTGCAGGCTGACCGCACAGGTACTCCTCACCTTTCACCAGTGTCCTGCCTGGCAAATTCTGGGTGGGGTCCTGTTCAGAGGGAGAGGCAGCATTGGGGGTGAGATTGCCTGCAGAGTCCCAGGAGAACCCTTGATGCTGCCATTTCTCAGTGTGGGACGTGGGTGGTGGTGGGGGAAGCGATGCCAAGGGACTCCTGCCCCATCCCTCCCAGCTCCTGTCTGGTGCTCTCTGTTGACAGATCTCGAAGTGCTTTGCTAAGGAGACTGGAGTCATTGTCCCATTTCACAGATGGGGAAACTGAGGCACAGGCAGGGGAAGTAACTTGTCCAAGGTCACCCCCAAGCCAGGGGTAGAGCTGGGACCAGAATTGGGGCTCCCATGTCCCAGATCAGTCTGCTAGGTCCCACTGCTGGCAGGGAGCAGACACCTCAACTTAGTGCCCCCTCCCTTTCCTTGGTGGCTGAGGCACAGTGAGAGGCCCTGGAAGGAGCCACAGCCATCCCCGTCTGGCTGGAAGGCTGGGTCTCCCAAGCCCACTGCCACAGCACTGAGGCCTGATTTACAGTCAGGCTTCAGCTTTTCACCATCAAGGTTCCTGCAGGCTGAGGCCCCTACCCCCACACCCAACTTGGCAGCCCATCCTGCCTCCCCTTGGCCACGGGATGTGCTGGACCAGTCCCCCACCTTGTCTTGCCTCCAGTACATGGCTGCAGCCGGACTCACTCTGCTGTGACCCTTGGGGACTGGAGTGACCCCCTCGACCCAGATGCCGAGGCCCAGATGGTGTATGGGCAGCTCTTGCTGGCGAGAGACAAGCTCAGGTGCATGTGACTACTGGTGGGGGACAGGAGGGACTGTGGCATGGGAGGGAAGGGAGGTGGCCATGGGTGTGTGCTGAGGAGGGGAGCATCACTTCACAGCTGGCATGGGGTAGGAGTGCGTCACAAACACAGCTGCCCCAGTGGGCTGGGAGGGGGACTATGCTATGGCCAGGGAGGGCAGTTAGCTTTGTAGAGGCACCAGCCTCAGGTCCTGCGCTGTGGGATGGGGGCTCTAGCTCTGCCTTCTAGCCAGGTTTCAGGGAGCAGGGGAGGGTCTGATGGATTCAAAGGCACACCTTTGGGTGCACAGTGGGTCCCGCTGGCCTTTCAGTGTTGTTCCTGGTCACTCCTCTGCTCCATGGTCATTCGTTTTCTCCCCGTGTGGGTGCATTCATCTGTCCTCACCCTCCAGCCCAGCTGCGGCAAGGGGCTCTGGCTCTGGCTCCCCCGGCCTTGCTTCCCAGAGGGGTTTGATTGCACAGATCGCCAGCCCTGTCCCTCACGGCAAAGGCACCAGTGTTGCTTGGCATCAGGCCTTGCTCAAACAGGCATCCCTCTTTCCTGCCTCCTGCAGGGGCAATGCTGTCCCCAGGCCAACACACACTTGAAGGCCTTAAAGGGAGTCACCATTAGGACTTCATTGCTGCAGAGACCAGGGTCAAAAAGCAGGGGGTGGCCCGTCTTTAGGTCTATGGTTGATATTACCACATGCTACCACGAGGGGTCTTCCTTTCACCAGCTGTTGCACTTGCTGCCTTTAAAGAAGCCTGTGGCCTGCAGTCCAAAGCAGGTCCCTTGGCAATTAATTCCCTGCGTGCCCAGACACTGCTTCTGCCTGTCCTCAGGGGTCCGAGGCATTGCCTGCACCCCAAAGCACTCACTACAGGGAGGGAGGTGGAGACTGAAATCCACATGGTCTGATCCAGGGACATGAACTGCTCCCACTTCCAGACCCTCAGCCAGTCTGGCGCAGGGGCATCTCTTACCGGGGTGGTTCAGCTGTGTATAATCCATTAGGTATTTACTGGAACAGGAATGGGGTGCTGGTTCTCCCACTCCCCAGGGAAGTGTCCTGATCCATGGGTCGTGGGTCTGTCTGGGTTGAGAAACTGTCTCAGTCGGGAACAGCGAACCAGGATGTGGCGCTGTGGGGCTGGCCGGACCCTTTCATCCAGGGGCCTTCAGACAGGTGCTCTGAGCACTCCCTTCTCTCCCTGATTCAATAACTGTCATGTAACACCTGCCCACCCTGTCTGGGCCAGACGGTTGCACAGACGGGAGCGGTCCCTGCCCCTGAGAGTTCACACTCGCCTTCTCCTCTCCCCAGGGAGAAGTACCTGGAGTTCTCCGAAGCAAGGCTGGCACTGGACCAGGAGGAGGGACAGGAGGGCAGCTATACCCGGGAAGGTATGGACCTGCTGCTCCACACAGCAGCCAAGGGGGTTTGGCAGGAAGGTGCCAGAGGGACAACATTGTGCCAAGCCACGAAGTGGGAGCAGGCAAGAGCCTCAGCCCCCCTGGGGTCTTCAGGTGGTGCCAGCCTGGGAAGCAGACAGCTCATGGGGCATTAGGCGCTGGGCCCAGGCAATCCAGCTTACTCCTGCCACAGGCCAAGGACCCATCTGGTAGGCCAGCCGGGCCAACAGCAGTCATCCCGCAGTCTCACAGAGCCCTGACTGCAGTGTCAGCCTGGAGGACGGATGCTGCCTCTGAGCTCATGCCCAGGCGAGCAGGGAGGGCAGAGGGGCCTTTCCCTCTCTTAAAGCTTTCCCTGGGTTTACGTGGATGGCAAGCAAATGGGGGTAACCAGGCGACAGAGAAGATGGTGCCTGTCTCCCACTGTCTTTTGCTGCTCCCTGGGTTCATGGCCACTCTGAACCGCAGTCAGATCCTGGGGGTGAGCAGGTGCTGCCGTTGTGCTCTGTGAATGCTCTCACCCTCCAACAGGGGACAAGCACTCTGCTCCTCCTTGCCACACTTGGGGGAGGGGGTCCAGTGAGTCCCCCCACCATTCCTGTCAGCACGTGGGGCTCCCCCCCCGCATGTACCAGTTCCTCGCTCCTGCTCAGGGATGGGCAGAGAGCACTGCAGGGATGTCCCTTGCAAAATCTGTAGGGACCCCAAGCAGGAGCTTCCTGCCCTTGCTGGCCTTGCCTCATACAAACAGGCTCTCCACCCTCCATTGCCAGTCATTTTCTCGCAGATGCCAAGTGGAGCAAGTGGCCAGGGTGGGGCAGAAATCCTCTGCTCAGGCCTGGTGACGTGTGCCTGGTGGGAGCTGGGTGTGGTGGGCAGCAGAATGATGGGCCTTCGGGTGCTTTCCTGCACTGGTCTGCCCTGCCCTGCCCAGGTGCTCAGAGCCGACTGCATCATCTCCCTTTCTCCTGCAGACCATGAACGCTCTTTCCAGGACCGCAGGATGGCTGCCACTGCCCGCCTGCTGGATGTCATCCAGGACCTGGAGCGTGCCCACAGTGCCTTTGAGCGCCGGGAGAAGGAGGAGGCGGCCACTGAGTCGTACTAGGCCTAGGCAGCCTCTGTCCCCTGCCCTGTGCCGCTCCTGGAGCCTGGGCCTCCATCAGACTGCACCTGCCTAGCAGCAGCATGTGAGAGCCAACCCTGGTACCAGCTCTGTCCACCCATCAGGCCTGGCATTGTGGTCTAGAGTGTGTGTAACTGAGGCAGGTCCTTGCCCTGCATTGAAGCCTTGGGGCCAACATTTGGCTCAGGACAGGAGCAATAGGGTCACAGTAGAAGACAACACCAACACTGGCTGGAGGTGGCCCAGTGCTCCTTGCTCTCCCACCTCTGCATCCTGACACAGTGCCCGCATCTGCCATCAGATGACACCAGGAGCACTCTGTGTGCCCAGACCCTGAACAGGGGCAGGCAGCTGCCTGCTTCCCATGGGACAGAAAAGCAAAAATCCATGTCCCCGCCATGTCTGCCAGTGCCCTGGAAATAATCTGCTCATCTGCTCCTCAGCCCTCACTGTGCCATTATTCCTGGGTCAGTACTCAACTCTGCTAAGCCGCATCTTCACAGTAAGGCTCAGTCCATGCGTGTCTGTCCCTGGGAACTCCAGACTGGCACCTGGAGAGATGTGGGGACACTGGTCTCTGGGTGGCAAGCTGAGGAGAGCAGTGGTACCAGGGTTTGAATTACATTTTGACTCTTGTGGGGGGGTCTGTGGTGGTGGCAGCTGGAAGCCGGAAAGAGCCACTGCCGGAGGCACGGAGCAGGCTGGGGGGGCTCCTCCCTTATGGAGGAGCTCTCGTCTCTTACGTGGGGGCTTGGCCCCCTGCTGCCCAAGCTCCCCTGTAATTCAAACCCTGGTGATACCACAGAGAACAATGTCCTCGTGTGGCCTGGTGACATGGTAACTGGCTTTGATGCAATGTAGAGACTCCGAGCTGCCTGAGACAGAGAAGTGCAGTGCTTTGTGTTACAGATGCACCCAGTCTCAGAT